TAAGAAAAAAATTACCAGTGTCGATCCGAAATCGTCAAAAAAAGAGGAAATAATAAAAAACAAAAACATTTAACAAATAAATAATTTATCAAAAACAAATAAGAAAAAAATTACCAGTGTCGATCCGAAATCGTCAAAAAAAGAGGAAATAATAAAAAACAAAAACATTTAACAAAATAATAATAATAATCGCCTTATTGAAAAGCAACTCGAAAAGACCCTCCATCACGAATCGAAAAGAAACTAAAAATATGAAAATTAGAATAATTAATTATCAATATTTATTAAAAAAAAAATTTTTAAAAAACATTTCAACCCAAAATTAAAAAAAAAACGAATTACCTTATACTTGTAGATGAAAGATATAAAGAAAAGGAAAAGAGCCATTTAAAAATAAAATAAAAAATATTCAATCGCTGCGATCCGAAACACCGAGCCCTAAACCAAGGGTGCAAGATTTTTTTTGGAAAAGTCGTCGATCCCTAAATTTTTTTATAGCGTTGCATCCAGTTCTTTAGAGTTTATATTTATAAAAGAATGTAAATTAGCATAAGATATTTTTGATTATGTAAAAAAAAAATTTAATAAAATCAGTACTGCCTCAATAGTCGGCTCAACTGAACAAGGGTATCTACATCAGTTACTAGCATTAAATCCTACAAATATTTATAGATGGCAACAATTTTAATGCAAAAATTATATATATATATATTTTTGTTTATATTTTGTATAAAACACCTGCATTTTAAATTATTTGTAAAAAAAAAAAAAAATTGAAAATTTAGCATGTCAGACGATTTCTCTTGTAAACATAGAATATTCAGGACTTAATAAATGATATTTTTATTAATATTAAAAGCAATGCTTTATAAATGATCAAATAATTTATATAGAACTTTAAAATTTTATTATCGTGATTCGAATAACTCGAACATTTGACACGAGTATTCTTTAGAGAAATTCACGAGTCACGATTTAATTCGATCACAGACGAGATAAATCGAAAATTATGTAACTCGTCATCTTTACCGAATTTTCTTATCTATCTATTTTTATATTTGTTTGTATTGTTCATTTTCTCCTCACCATATCCAATATTCAATCTGCTTTTCCGTGATCTTTTTATCTACATCAAATCTTTGATGATGCAACAATGGCAACAACATAAAGTTAGAAGTCTCTATAATATGAATAGATTGTTAAATTCAGGCTTTTGATACTAGGTACCTGAATAAAAATCTCTTAAAAAACATATTAAAATTTCTATAATCATTTAAATATTTGTAAAAACATTGACGTGATTTTTTTTATTGCTTATTGAGAAATAAAGAATCTTAGATTGGCAATGTTCTACTAACGCTAACTCTCGCTATAATAGCATTTAAGCCGGAAGTAATTGAATTTTAAAAATAATTTAACTTGATCCGATCTAACTAATATTTTTATCTAGAGGATGGAACCGGCCCAAAAATCCTTAACCGGTTAATAACAGGTTAAATTTAATTCAGGCCGACATTATAAATTTGGGCAAAACTAGCGAAATTTTGTAAACACAAAAAAATTTAATTCTGCCCGAAAATTAAATTTTGGCCAGAGTTAAGATTAACGTTAAAAAAAGATCTTTTACCGGTTAACAAGATAGTTAGTGTCTTAACCGGTTAATTATCCGGTTAAAAATTAACCGGTTTCAACCTCTCATTTTATCAGTAACTTTAGTTTATTAAACTTAATAATATAAATGATATAAAAATAATTTTTGTTTAATATTTATTTTTAAAAATCCTGATTTAACGTTAATATTTATTAATTAAAAACAGGATAATAAAAACTGGAACTTAAAATCCATTTTTTTTAGTCAATAAATCTATACATGGAGAAAACGATACACAATGGGTTTCACATACTACCCAAAAGTATAAAGATTGTTTTAATCGATAGAAAATGATCGACAATACATTTCCCATATCAATTAATCAAACCAAAAATATTGTAACAATTACAAACAATCAAAACAAAAAAAAAGACAGAAAGACATTTTGTAATACAAGCAAATAATAAAATTCCTTCTTTTTTATTTTTTATTTTATTTTTTTTTTAAAAAATAAAAAACAAAAAAAAGAAAAAAAATGACTAACCAAAAATACAAATCGTTCAACTTATGCTTGATTTATTTTTTAACCTATTTACCCTTTTGTGTTAATTCATTTACCCCTTTAGCCCGTTATGCTCATTCGTCTATTTTTATTGAAAATAAAATGTATTTTTTTGGTGGAATAAAAGTTGATAGAACATGTTCAAATGAAGTTTTCTATCTTGACATTACTCCACAATTTGATTTAGAGGTCCTGTTATGGACCGACGTTACAAAAAAATCAGGAATAGGTTTTAAGAGTTGTCGGGCAAGTATTGTATCAGACATTAATAATACTATTTACCTAATCGGAGGAGTTATGGAAAATCAATATAATGAAGATGCCTTTACCTCATTGGTACATACATTTGATCTAAAATCAGGAAAATGGAATGTACCCAAGATTATAGGAAAGGAAGCAAATAAAAGAGGATATTTGCAAGCTGTTGTTAATAATGATGGAATCATTTACGCCTTTGGTGGACGTGAGGGCTTAATGTATTTTAATGATATGGTATTATTGAATACCAGCGAATTCAAATGGTCATATGGTCCTATTATCAATGCTCCTTCAATAAAACATTCATACACTGCAACAATATTACCAAATGGTGTCATCGTATTCATAGGAGGTAGAGAACGTATCGATAATGAGCAAGCAGATATCAATCGAATCAATCTATATGATACAAAGTTAGCATCTTGGTCAGTTGTGGTATGCAAATATAATGATTATTTTTCTTTTGTTTAAAAATTAGAATTTATTTAAATTAAAATTTTTATTAAGCAAGCCAAAAGTGATTTTATAATCGAATTTCGTTCTGGTCATTCGGCTGTATTAGGTATAATTATATATTTGGTTATCATTTTATCACTTGTCACGTAAACTAATATTATTAATTTATGTCAAGCTCCTGACGGAAAAATCATTATTTATGGTGGTGTAAAAATTACTGCAAAATCTTATCTGGTTAGTGTTACGCCAAGTTTAGCTGTTTTGAATATTCAAACGACCCCATTTGAATGGACAACACCACAAGTATTGTCAAATGTTGGTGAAATTCCATCACTTGTATATCATACAGCTCATTTGGTTGAAAATTACATGATTGTGACTTTTGGTAAAAATCCTTTAAATTCTTCCTGATCTTAATCCTGAAGTTTATTACTAACAATGAAACAATTTTATTGAATAATATAGGACGTTTTACTCAACCAAAGCTTTATCCAATAATTATCAATGCAAAGGTTTATATATTAGATATCAGAAATTATACTTGGGTTAATAGATTTGAACCTTTAAGTGTGCCTACACCTTCAAATGAAAACCCTACAAGTAATACACCCTCAACTGAAACATCTTCAAAAACAACAGACTCATCAAATTCTCGTAGATTTAAAATAATAGTTGGCACAATAAGCGGCATTTTAGGTGTCGCATTTTTTATAACAATAGGAATTTGTTATAAACGGAATCAAAAGAATATGAATCTAAGTGCTCGTAATACTGAAGAAATGCATGATAATATAGATGAAACTAAAGAAAAGTCTAGTCATAATGTTGTTGATCATATGGATACACAGTTGTAACTACGAAACGTACTTGATAATACTGGCAATATTGGTAAAATATAAAATTATCAAATATAATAAACATAACAATTTTATAAAATGACCTGTACTTACATGTACATTTAAACTTCAATATATATACAGTAATTTGATTACATTAATTAATAAATAAATAGTATCGATTACTATATGTTATGTCTTTTACTGATTTATCATCTTTGATGATGACTTTCGAAAATTCGTCAAGATCTGCTATTAAATAAAAATTATAAATTAAAATTAACAATTTGTTTAGCATTTAAGCAAAGGCAAAGTTCAAAATTTTAGAGTTTGTTAGATATTTAATCAACAACTTGTTATAATTTCCAAGAAGGTTTAAAAAAGAATGTTCCATTTTAGGAGCTAGATTATTCAGAAATTTGATAGATTTTCATTAAAACTCCAAGATATACTGAACTTGCAAACTTTCTTAGATATTAGGCTTAAATGTAAATATGTAGTAACGTTAAGATTATTAAAATTCAAATTAGCAATACAATATTATGCTATGAAATACAGTGTATGAAAAACTTCAACATATGGGTTCATAAACATGCGTTAAAATTTTGCAATAATGTCCTCAAGAAGTTTCACGTAAATCATTCAAGATACTGTATTATTGCGTCAAATTCTATATTTTACCAAGTCATTTAAAGGATAAATTTTCATGATGTTAACATATTCCTTTTTTTTTTGTGAATTCAAATAAATATCGCCAATAAATTTAATTTAATGTAATATGACCAACGGAGAGGATTAAAAGTTCATGTTTGTTCGATTTGTTCTCAAACAGTTCTTAATCGAAAGAGCACGTGCATTCGTTAAAATTTGTGTTTGAATTTCTTATTATACAAGACGATTATACTATACGACCAGGATGGCTTTTATTTTTTAAAATGTTTCTTCTTGATATTTAGAAGGGAAATTAAAGAACACTTTTCAAATCATTATTAAGGATAATTCGTTTACCATCAGCTATCTTATTCGCACTATAAACCATCAGCAGTGGTTTTATAAAAATTATAATAATATTTGACAACTTTAAATAGCCAATGAAAAAATATATATGAAGTAGCGTAAGAGAGGTAATTTAGTTTAGTATAAACAAAAACAATGTAACGAAAATATTAAAGAAAATAAAGGAAATAGTTTTATTATAAAGATAAAAGAATACAAATAAATGCACAATTACTACCTCTGCTGGCGCTCTGTAATTGGCCCAAAGAGAAAAGAACTATCTAAAATAAAATGTTCACATTCTATCGTTAACCAAGAGCGAAACGAAGCTCTTTTATATTTAAATTCCTTTCCATGGCTTGGCTACGGCATTCTCTAGAACTTGCGGCTTGGATGACTGAATTACCAATTATTTGATCCCTGATGTCAAAAATGGTCATTTTGACATATATCTTTCATCTTGCCAAGGGATCCGTATTGTCTTAAAGGTCCGAAATGTCTATGCCAACAGATCCACCAGAATTGACATACAGTATATTGATCGTGATTTAACTTTTGGCGCAGTCAAAACCAAGGGTGAGATGATCATCATTTTGATTGGCCAATTTGTTTTTTTTTATATACTGTATATTTCAACAACTACCTTCCCACTTGCTCTTCACTTACTTTTTTTTTCCTCATCTTTTCTTTTATTTCATCCCCCACATGTATTTTAATGTTTTTATCATCTTCTTTTTCTTCATCTATCTTCACCTTCTCTTTCCTCTTCTATATTTCCCTCCTCTATATAATCTTCTAATCTTTTATTACAGTAGTGAAAATCATTTTTACTTCGATACATGCGAATATTTCTTAGAATAAAGATTCATGACTAATTTTTATAGCCAGGTGCGTTCTCCTTCTGTCAAAGGTTCTGTGGTAAACGTTAACTGTTCATTGCGAACTTGTACCTCTGGGATAATTGATTTAGTTCTTCTTGTCTAATATATACTGTAAGTCCTACATTATTTAATATTTATGTGAAAACAAATAATCATCTTAGCTCCGTTAAATCATATTTTTTGAAACTTTTTATTTAAAACCTTGCACCTTTCACTAATAAACAAGAGGAAGGGAGATGCATATGGCGTGGCAATGGTATAGCCTCTATGAGTCTGAAACTTTTTAAGAGTTTCTTTTGTATAGTCAAAAAAAGGATATATTCTTCGGGATTTTCTTTGATGAAAGGCTTTGACGTCTCGTCTATTGTATGAATTTCCAGAATTTCTGGTTCTCTAGTTAGTTCGATTCCAACGTTTATTCTTGTGTAAAAAATCTAGGTTCTAGAATTTGATTGCACAATTGTTTTTGGCAATAAAGATTGTTTGTATATTTTTTATAGCTCACACAAGTGTTAAATAAAAAAAAAAGTAGCTTAGTAAGTGCTATTTATGTAATTCCAAATAGAAACCATCAGAATACTCGATTTTATTCTCGACATCATAGCAATCCTAAATAAAGTACTTTTTTGAACTTGACTTTTAGTTAATATCTTCAAAAATTAAAACTTTGTTACTTTCACAAAAAAAAATATTTTTTTTTTATTTATTTTCAATATTAGATTTTGATAAAATTCCCCATAATTGGACTGAATGTAAATATAACTATTTAAACCCGTTCGAACTGTTAGAAAAAAGGATTGTAGATAGCGAATCCTGCCATAATGCGAATGGCTCATAATAAAATATCGCTATAAACCTTTTTATGAATCTTCCATCAATCTTTACATTTGAGTCGAAATTTTTTTTTTAAAAAAAAGATAAAATATTAATGGTAAGATATATTTAGATAAATTTTTGCCATATTGGATAATGAAGTTAAATTCATATACAGTGACTTCCATAATTATTGCACCACTTTATTTAAAATTTTTAAATTGTAATATCGTTAAATCTATTTATCATACAATAAAAAAAAATTTATTAATTATTAAACCTCAGACTTTCTTTATTATTTATTAAAATTTAATTTGCATATTATTGACTTTTTAAAAAAAAAATCTTGAATTACCAAAACTTTGCGATGCAATACTTTTGGCATATATCAAAAAAATTTTTTGATTACATATTTTTCAATAAAATTTCTAACTAACCCTATTTGAATTTTTTTTAAAAATCCAATCATCACTTCGTATATCCTCCACCAGCCTTAAGAACATCTTTAACCCGTTGTGGCATTATATTAATTAATTTTAAACAAACATCAACATCAATCTGATTCCATACTAGTTGAATCTTATTCCACAAATCTTCTGCACTGGTAATATTATCAGGAAGTTGTCGCAAATGATGATCAACTTCATTTCACAAATGTTCAATGAGGTTTAAGTCTGACGATTGTGCTGACCAATCCAAAATCTCAACATGATGTCATCAAACCATTCGATTGTCTTATTAGCTGTATGCTTTAAATCATTATCCTGTTGGAAAATGACATCATTTACAGTTAAATCACATGCGCTAAGAGTTCATCTTTCAAAATGTCTTGATATAAGTCTCCATTCATTCTTTCATCAATTTTACAGTATAATCCCATATAAAATACACCTATACAACCCTATATCATCACAAAACCCCTACCAAACTTAACAGTTGGTTTAATATATTGTGGCTGCAAAGGTAAATTTGGATACTTCCAACACCATTCCCTACCATCTGAACCAAAAATCATAAATTTACTTTCATATGACCACACCACCATTTTCCCAATCTTCTATAGTCCAATCATAGTACTTTTTAGCAAACTTTTTTTGAGCAATTCTATGCCTCTTTAAGAGCAATGGTTTTATTTTAACTCTAGCTACAAGACCTTTCCTTTTTAATGAACGCTGAATTGTATTTGAATATATATTAATGTTTTCATTAGAAATTAAACTTTTTTGGATTTGAATAACATTAGAACATTCACTTGACTTTATAAGTTTTGCAATATTTCTATCATGACGTTCTGTAAAAATTCTAGGGTAGCCTGATTTTGGAATAACATCAAGACTACCAGTTTTTTCTTTCTTTTGTTTGATTCTTATTACAGAAAAATGACTAACATTTTCATGAAAAGCTACTGAACGACTTGAATATCCCTCCTGAAGAAAAGTAATGATACGTTTCCTTTGATAATATGGTATTACCTTCATTATAAAGCAATAAAGTTCTGTGGAAAAGTAATACAAAGTGATTACAAATTAGGTTTATTTAAATTTATTAAGGCATGTCTCACAAGCATCGGTTGACATTTTTTAATTTAGTGCCATAAATATTGTTCCACAAAAAAAATACACAACTTAAAAATGTTGTAAAAAGCCACAAATTAAATGCTAATCAAGTTTTATATTTATTTAAAATAAAGTTACGGCTTTAAAGTTAGTTAAATTTTAAAATTAGACAATTACTTCAATTTTGCAGAATTATGATTTAAAAAATTAAACAGGGTGGTGCAATAATTATAAAAGTCACTGTATATTCTTGTTATTTTTCAAATACATTATTTAAATAAATTGATTAAAAGAAAAACTAAGCTAAATAAAGCAAACATTATAAATGAAGGTAAATGCATCAAATAAAATCAAATAATTCCTACATTAATGTTTATTTTTTTTTTTTTTATCTTTCTTTTTTTTCTCACTTTTTTTTGATCCTTCCTTATAGTTGTAGTGACTTTTCTGATATCACAATTTGAGTTTTTTCATCCTGTCTGTAATTTCTAATAGCTTCATCCTCAACTTCTTTCACTGAAGTCAAATGATGAGTTTCTTCATCAATGTAGCAAAGATTTTCCCGATGAAAGAGAAAGTTGTTTAGAGCCTCTGTTATATTATATCCTGTGTGTAAAAACATTTCTTCTGTACATTAACATATGTAAATAAAACTATTGGTGTCCTTTAACAAGAAGGTTAAATTTTCATTATATGCAAATATTGGGCAAGCATCAATAACATTATAAGTTTCAGCAAACATATTAATTTCGTCATCGTATAAAACTTCTTTATTCGTTTCATCATGAAATAAACATTTATTTTTCAACAAATTAAGAAGCGTGGGCAGATCTTGTTCATATTATATTGCATTGTCTGTTGACAATTCAAGCATGGCAATATTATTTGTCGTGTTTCCGTGTAAATTGTACGCATTCTCATTGGGAGGTCTTGCCTCCACAGTGATAGGGCAAGCCATGCGTTCGTTTTGGAGCAGTTGGCGTGATTCTAGTGCGCCTCGGTCTTCAACAAATTTCCTTTCGCGTCCCGTAGCAAAATGTGCTTGTTCTTCAAGTCGAATTCCTGTCGTATCCTCAATAATTTTGCTTTGGTTTTCGAGATGCCTGTAAACGATGCTCCAAACGAAATCTTCTTTACTCTTAAACGGTGTCTCTGACGTATATATTTCCAAGAAATCGTTACCGCTTTTGGATGATTCCAGGATTGTCCCTTTTCTCCCTCTAAGAGTAGTATCCAAGTTGCCAGTTGATTTAGATATTTGGATAGATATTTGATTTGTCGTTTGAAAATCAATAAGGTTTACGGAACTTGACAGATGTTTATCGTATAAAAGATACACAGGCCGTCCCACACCGTGCTGGCTTGAATCGTCACACCATTTTCTTCCAAAGTTATCCATGTCGGTTCCCCGTTCAGATTTTTAAGATATCGCTGTTTTTTCTTTCTGGAATATTAAGCAAAAATTTAGTCAATAATTATTTAAAAAAAAAAAATACAGCATACTGTAAATATACCGATACTGCTTTAGTATTTCTTTGTACAATCTCCTTGATATTATGCTCCGCTTTGACAAGATTTTTATGTAATTCCATAACTAAAAAATAACTATTTTTGCTAATATGGCTTTGTAATTTGGTTAAAAGCGCTTTCTTTCAAAAGGGAAACTTTACCTCGTCAGATGAATTAAACGTTTTTAATTGAATATCTAGGGGAACAATTGCTGTTGCATTTTTTTGAAAAGGAATAGAAATAGAAAGAATAGTAAATGAAGAATATATATAGTAACTGTTATATCACTCGATTCAGTACATATGGTCGCGTGGAGCGAGTTTTATTTCCTAAAAAAGGTAATTTAGTATGACGAATATTTTTTTATACTATTGCTAATGTAAATATCGTTCATAGGAAGAATTTCTTCTAATTGTACAAAAACTGAGTAGCACAAAGATATTTACAATCAATTATCGTTGTATAAGCCGCAACAGAAGATAATTTACAAGAATAGAATTTCAACATTACAAGGCAAGGCAGCTTAAGAATAGAATATGAATAGTGTTATGCATTGTAACTAGCGAGGTCATGAAAAAGTATAACAACAGGTGCATTATGCATCTTTTTCATTCGATATTTCTTATTATAATTTTTCAAAAATTAAAATCATAATTTATTAAAAATTCTCAGATCATGATTTCTTTGCTCTTAACCCATTAATTTCATTTTATATTAGGTTTTTATGTATTACGGGAACGGTATATGACTAGACTTATACAGATTTATAAATGCAATGACAATATAATGGAAAGATAAAAATTTGAATAACCAGAAAACAATGTGTAAAATATTCAGAAGGAAACACGACTATTGAATATTCAAAATGTAAATATGTTCCTTCCTGCAGGTCCGTAAATTATCGATAAAATATTTAGAAATGTAGAGTCAAATTTACCCAACATTATTTGTGGTCATATGATGCGGGCTTTATTGTATGAATCACTAAACAGTCTTTCACTAAACAGTCTTTTGTCATTGTTTTTTAAACAACATATCAGATTACACAAATAAACTACTTCAAACGACATGAAAATAACAATTATATTTTACATTGTTATGCGGCCAAGTAAATATATAATATCACGCGCCACTTTATAATATTTTGAAATAATAATATATATAATATTAAGAAATATGGCAAAGGTTTAGAGTTTTAAATAAATGAATAAATCGGAAACTCTCATTTTTTTAAAGAAAAAATAAAAAATATTGCTATAAAAATTATTGCAAAAAATGATTATGCGCCATGGTGTGACGCTTGGTTTGTATCACGTTCTTGAATAACAGATTAGAGGCAGAGGAACATACTTCTCTTGGAAAGTAACGCACATAATTAATTTTGACGTCAAATAAATATTTGTTTGTCAAGACAATATTTATGTTTCTATTTTTTATGCTTTGCCTGCCAAATCACCCGCCTGGCGGAGTTTTAATTCGTAGGGATTACCATTTAATGATACGAGTCATTGTCATATCACTTGACCTAATAATGCTGATTACTACCTCGTGACTATTGTTCTTATTTGTTATATCTTTTTTTTTTAAAAAAATGTTTCCAATCATTAATAATCTATTAAATTTATTTGCGAAAATTATTTTCGGCATTAATGCGTGATGACATGTAACTTAACTCTACATTAATTATGGCCGTTTCCAGTAAGTATACAGCAAGCCTCTAAAATTCTTCTTACGATACGACGACAGAAAAATTGACTAAAAAAAACGAAATACGATCGACAATACCGCAGCAACTAGAGCAAATTTTGAGTTAGTTTTATTGGATATAGAACGCCCATTAAATTGTAGGGTGGTATATTTTGAAATACAAAAAAAAAAACAAAGAATTGAAATTTCTTTTTTCGGGCAAATTAATTTTTTTTCTTCCTAAAGTGTTTTTTCTTAATTGTACTATTATGATTTGCAAAAAATATAAATTGCTCAAGTTATGTTTTATTTTTATATTAAATTATTTGTTCTTAAAGGTGTAGTAGTCATTTACACCTTCAGGACGCTATGCACATTCTTCTGTTCTTGTCCAAAATAAGCTTTTTTTTTTGGCGGATACAATGAAAAAATTAATTCATGTTTAAATGATGTGTTTTATCTTGATGTGACTAATCAATTTAATGTAGAATATCCGTTGTGGACCGACCTTACAGTAAATTCAGGAATCGATTTTACAAGTTGTTGGGCAACTGTATCAAATATTAATTTTAATAATAACCCACTATATACCTTATTCAAGGATTAGTTATTAATCAAAGCGATGGAAAAGTAATTAGCTCACCGATATATGCATTTAATCCAAATTCAGGACATTGGAATTTACCTATAATTAAAGGGAAAATACCAGAATGGCGTAGAGATATTCAAGATGTTGCCGATAAATTCGGCAATATTTATATTTTCGGTGGATATTCCATAATAACAGCAAATTTCTTAAATGATATTATAATATTAAATATTAATGATTTAATATGGTCATATGGCCCTATTGACAATGCCGATTTAAAACGAGATAGTTACACTGCTACATTATTAACGAATGGTATGATTGTATACATTGGAGGTAGGGAAATTAATAGCGAAGTGGACATCAATAAAATTAATCTTTATGATACAAGGTTATCATTTTGGTCATTAGTGGTAAGTATTACTATTATTTATTCTCGTATCTTTTCTTAAATTAAATTAATTTTAAATTTTTATTAAGCAAGCAAAAAGTAATGGCCAGATTGAATCTCGATATGGTCATTCGGCCATATTAGGTATAAATTCATTATTTTTTATTCTTCAATTTTAATTGCTTTGATTTATAATAACATCATATTGTTGAATTTATAAAGTTTCTGATGAAAAAATAATTATTTATGGTGGAAAGAAAGGAGAAAGTAGTAAATCTATTAAAGTTATACCAGATTTGGTTATTTTGAATATTCAAACAACTCCATTTGAATGGATTATACCACAAATATCAACCAATATCGGTAAAGTCCCATCACTTTCATCACATTCAGCAAATTTAGTTGAAAATTATATGATTATTGCTTTTGGTAAATATTACTTACGTATAATATATATTTCATATTTTAGAAGACGTAAATAATTAAGTAAATAAGTTAATTCTTTATTGAATTTTATTGAATTATATAGGACAATTAACCTTTCCTAATGGTTTAGAAGAAAGAATTAGTTCAAAAAATATTTATTTGTTAGACACTAAAAATTATTCTTGGGTTGATAAATTTGATCCTATAACTTCAAATACAACTTCACCGAGTCCTTCTCCAACAACCACAAATACTACATTGTCAGATACTGCAAAAACTAATAATGTTCAATTAAATACAATAATTGGTACAATAAGTGGAATTTTATGTACTGCAATTTTAATGACAATTGGAATCTTTGGTTATAAATGGTACCAGAAGAGAAAACAAAGTGAAATAATGAGAATTTTTGGTGATGGTTTACGTACACAATTTTTATAATTTGCTAATTTCTAGCCATAATGAAATTTTTGTAGTTTAAAGTTTTGAACCTTTAATATGATCATCATGCTTATTCTTTAGAAAATTTAATATGCAAACATTATTAATATATTATCTTAAATGATAGTTGAATCAACATGAAAAATGGCTCACAGCATACCGACACGTCATCAAATTAATAAGGACTACATTAACATATTTTTAGTGATGCATTATACGAATTTCTTTCATCCATATGAAAGAAATTATACACATGATTTGCAAACGGTTTATAATGCATGACTTCTATATCTAAAATTAATTGTGAAGGGGGAGAGAGATAAAGAGAGATTTCTTCAATGTATTAATTATTTTGGATTTGCGCAATCGTTTGTACTTCGTATGAACATGATCGAATAGTTCTTTAATTAAGACAAGCAAAAAGTAAAATATCAGTCATTCACTATGAAATAGGTATTATTTCTAGTAAGGATTTATAACCCTCATTGTTTAAAATGTAGTTAAATAATCATTATATTATTTTTTTTTTTGATCACTAAATAAACAAGTGAACAAGATTGTTTCTATTACACAACATATAACAGTTAATAAAAATTTATCCGTTTGCCGGTTAATTTACCAAGATTATCGGAGAGATAATAAAAACAAAGAATTTTTTTTAATAAATCATACAATATTAACGAGCTGAAGCATTTTACTTCTCAACGATAATAACCATTCCTTTATAGAAAATAAAACTTCATTTTTATGTACTACCAAGACAATACAATAATAACCCAACTAAATAAGGAAGAAAACATTCAAAACCAAATTGTTAGTTAAAGATTTACGCAACGATCAGATTAGTCCATATTAGGAGAACCTTCATTTACAACATTTTAAATTTCTTCCCAATCGGCAAATTCCTTGGTGTTACTTATTATTATGATACCATAATTAGTAATTCTGCTAATCAAAAGAATTCTTAAAACACGATCGACATAACATAAAAAATGCAGTTCAACATTTGTCACATAAACAACATTTCATAATTAAACTGTCAGACGTGAAACAACTTCTATTTTTTTTTCGGAATTCAATTCCGCATTTATAAATAGAAAATATAATCAAAACCATTGAAATTTTTTTTTTCCTTTTAAAAAAAATAAAAATTTTTTTTTTTTTTTTTTTTTTTTCTCCATAAAATGTCAAAACCACATCAAAATTCATTTTTATTATTAATTCTATTGTTCACAATAATTAATGTCAATAATGCACAAAATAATATAATACGAGCAAGGTATACACATAATGCTCATTTAATAGACAACAAATTATGGATTTTTGGAGGTGGAATTATAGCTCAAGGAACATTTTCACCAACATCAAGTGTATTTTATGTAGACTTGACAAAAAAATTTGATGTAGAAAATGTTGAATTTGAGGATTTACCACTTAAAGATGAGAGCCCATTTTTATGCGCATGGTGTCAAAGTGCTGTTGGCGGAAAAGATAATTTAACGGTATTTTTTTTTGCTGGAGTAATGTTAGATCCAAGTTCGTTTGATCCAACAACTTCAACATCTTATTCATTTGATATTAAAACTAGTAAATGGTCAGTGGCAACTTTCACTGGATCAGTACCTTCTAAACGTAGAGAATTACAACCTGCGACTGATACAAATGGAAGAATTTATATGTTTGGTGGTGGCGCTGATGCTGCTTTAAATATTAAATCCCCTCAAGTTTATAGAGACATGTATATTTTAGATTCCATTTCTTTGGTTGGAACTACGGGTTCCAAGTATAATGCTCCTTTAGCTAGAATTGATTATACTGCTACGATCTTACCTGATGGTATTATTGTTTACATCGGTGGATCAGAAGCTAATACGGATCTTAATTTTATTAACGTTGATATTAATAAGGTGAATATATAAGCTGTCATCAGATGTTATTTTTAATAATTTTAATCTAATTGAACAATTCAAATTGAAAAGATTCAAAAGTATGATACAAAAACAAATACATGGGCATTAACGGTAATTATATATAATTCTTGTTTGATTCATTTATTATTTAAGATCAATATTGATTTTAAATCCTTTAGGTCGCAACCGGAGAAAAAACTAATAATAGAGCAGGACATTCAGCTGCATTAGGTATGCGTAAAACATTTTCTTTTATATTGTTTAAAAAAAAGTTTTTTTTTTATTAATACGCATTTATGATGAACCTTAGCAAAGAATGGACAAATAATAGTTTTTGGTGGAATATATTTACCAGCATTATTACCATCTTCTCCACAAGTCGTTATATTGGATACTTCAACTCCAACCTATCAATGGATTCTTCCTCCAATTATGACCACAACGGATAAACCTCCGGACCTATTATTTCATACCGCAACTATTGTCGAAAATTACATGATCATTGCTTTCGGTATTTTTTTTTTTTTTTTATTCATGTACTTTCAATACAATTTAATCATGACAAATTTATTTATATCTATTATACGCGCAAACAATAGGGAATAGAACCGTGAGTGATAAAGTGCAAGGACAAAGCGGTAGATTATACTTTTTAGATTTGGAAAAATTTGAATGGGTTAAAACCTATAATCCACCAGCTGATTTGCCAAAGTCAAAAGTAAATGATTCTATAGACCCAAACAAAAAATCAAAAAATCAAATAATGATCATTTCGATAGTTGTTGTGGTGGTTTTACTTTGCATTGGAATCACGTCAATTGGAATAATTTATTATAAAAAAAACCAACAAACAAATCAATATTCGAATGGTACTTCTACTTACGCTTCTCAACCCCCACCTAATGTAATGAATCAACAACCGCAACAATATAATAATAATATGTCAACACCCAACAATCTGCTGCAGCAACCGCGGCAACCACAACAACTAATACAATATGCACAAAGTAACGTGTTACCTAGTAATGTTATATCTTCTAACTATAACCGGCATCATAGAGAAAATGTTCCATCAGCTGATTATAATGATCTAAAAGGATTTGATGTTCCTCCTGACCAACCTTACGGTGTCGTTATGTATAATACTGAATCTGGTGAAATGTACGTCCCATCAAATATGTCAACATCATCATTTCCTGATCCCAGTTCTAATAATTATATGAAATGAGTGAATCGGTTTATTAATGAATGTATTTATTTAATTATTCAGTAAAACTGACAAATCAAATAAAATTATTTTTAATTGTACATCTATCACTTTAAAAAAAAGACCCCGATAAAATATGAAAAAATTGGCATTGTAAAAAATTTAACAATTTTTATTTTCTGGCGAAACAAAATGGATTTAAAATAAGATTCAATTTATTAGTTAATTTAATAAAGTTTTAAAATACAGTACTTTATTAATTTTCGCAAAAATATAATAATTTTATTGATCCATTAATGATGTTATAAATGCTTTTTTTGTTGTCTTTATTTAGATAAATCGAAATTAGAAACAATGGACCGATAAATGCTGTTTTTTTTTGTGTCTCAAATTATTAATTTATTTATTTTTTAACTATAAAAGGACTTTAACAAACCTTGATATAGAAATTCATTATAAAATTCAGGAAAACACCTTGTTTTAATTTACGATAATAAAAAAAATCTTTTTTATATTGCATTATTCGAAAATAAATATATTGACAAATTATAAATAAACAATAGAAATAAAAACTGGATTTGCGGCGCAGCCGTAAATGAATCCCGTATTTTGCTTCATTTATCAAGCGTACAAAAGCATCATACGTTACTTTTATTTATAAGAAATTTTATGAATGAAAATGAGCAATATACCTTATCTTAATCCCCTTAATTGAAATATGACGAATAATTGTGAAAGTCCCGTTTTCTACCTAAGGATCAAATTTAATTTAAATCATATAATTAAAATAAAATAAAATAAAAATCTTGTTCGACTTTAAAAGATCACTGTTGCCTTTCTTCAAATGCATTCTAAAACACTTTTGTCAAACTTATCAAATCAAGTTCTTAATGAGAATATCCTGAATAATCCTGATTAGAAATTTATATTATGTAATAAGGAGTAATTAAACTTGAAAATTATTAGTAATGCTTGATTCGATTATTCCGCAGTCTCTAGGAAAATTTTCTCAAGCTTAAACTTATTTTTAACCTTTGAGTAATTACAAAAATTGAGAATGTTAGTTTTTTTACGAGATAATAGATGGTTTTCAAATGAATTCACTTTACTCGTTATATTAACCTTTCTCGAATGAGCATAAATGAATATATAAGTTCAAAGATTTGTCGCCAAAAATCTCATTCGAGTCAAAAGAATGGAAGCAATGTAAAACACGTCACTATTTTTTTTTACTTAATACGTGAAATTGCATATGTATTTATTATTTGATGCATGACTATAATTAAAAGAATATTTTATACAAAGAGCAAGTATAAATTTATGTATTGTGATTTAACACGGGAGCTATGGTGTTTTGACGATACAAATAAGGTTGATAATAAATATCCGTAGAGCTTGGTATAATAAGCGTTTCACTTTGAACTCGCTTCTTATTCCACCTATAAATTAAGATTCCAATTGTCATAAAAATTGCCGTACCAAAAATTCCACTAATTGTTCCAACGACGACCTTTAATGTGGTTATTTGTTCATAACCATCAAATGAATTTAAATGATAATTAGCATTTGAAGAATAATTGCTGTCAGGAGAAGTAGTTTCGGAAATTTGCACCGATGTTGTAATAGTTGAAGAACTATTGGACGAATTGAATGAGTTGACCCACATAAATGCTCTTAAATCGAGCAAATAAACATTTGTATTCGGGATTTCCGATGTATTTTCATCTGAAATTGTTAAATTACCTAGACCAATAAAATAGTTGATATTTAATCATTTATTTTGGTTTAAAAAAAAAAAAAATTCATGCTTTTAATTACCTAAAGTGAGTATCATATAATCTTCAACAATAAAGGCGCTGTGATCAGCGAGTGGCGGAGGAGTGTAATTACCGTTAGTTGATGGTATAATCCATTCATATGGTTGGACATATACATTTAAAACAATTAAAGACGGTGAGGAATTTTGGTTTACAGAATTTTTTCCACCATAAACAATAATTGTATTATTAGAATCTTGAAAATAAAAAAAAATTTAATAAATTAATTGAAATTGATTAAGAATAAATCAACGCTGTTAAGATTAAATGGAAACATTATTAACCAAGTACAGCAGTATGCGAATAGCGAGGATCAATATTTTCAACACCCCCTGCTTCCTAGGATAAAGAAATTAAATTGAATCAATCGAAAAATTAAATATATTTATGATCTTTTTATTTTTTTTTTTAAAAAAAATAAAAAAAATAATAATAATTTAAAATTACCATCTTTGTCCACGAATCAGTTTTTGTATCATAAAGAATAATTTGATAGATATCAACAATTTGGAAACATAATTCACATCCAACAACCTCATAACCTCCAATATAAACGATGACACCATCAGACAAAATTGTTGCGGTATAATAATATCGTGGAAGTGGGGAATTGGTTTTTGTACCATAAGACCAGATTGAATCCGTTGTATCCAAAATGATCATGTCATTGAATACTTTGGTGCTGTTATTCTGATTATTCGGATAGTCATATCCACCAAAAGCATATATTTTTCCAGCCTGATCAGAAACCGAATTCATAAGTCCTCTTCTTTGAGGCATTATACCTTTAATCGCGATAGGAGTCCATTGCATAGAATTAATATTAAAAGTATAAACGGACGATGCGAATATTTCTTCTTTTATAATCAGATCAAACATGTATCCTCCTATTAAATAAATATTATCATCGATAACTGAAGTCGTTGCATCAAAACTAAGGAATGGGACTGAAGCAGAATATGAAAGGTCAACCCATGGTGGAGCAAATGTGTCAAAAGGTTGCGATAAATCAAGTAGAAAAACTTCATTCGAAAATTCAAAGTTTGTCAGTCTTCCACCAAAAAAATATATCATATTTCCTACTAGAGCAGCAGAATGTCCTACACGACCTTCAGGAATAAAAGAATCAATCACGTTAAGAAGATGGCATAAAAATATGAGAAATAGTAGATAAACCATATTTTATTATGATGTGATTCGCGATCTTCCGTTTATTTATTTCAAAACTTTCTGTAAAATCAATTAAAGTTATCTTTTCGCCTTAAGTATTTGTTTTTCATTAAAATGAAATATAAATAGGGATTTGTACTACAAACTTTGGTCGTGTGGTCGTGTGGTATTTGAAATATACTGGAATTAAACGAAATTTATAATTATTATTTTTAGGATATATAATTTTTCGTCATCGGGGAGCTTCCGGCATGCCCAAACATGGCCTAATGATATCCTTTTTGAAATCAGGATTAGTGACTCATAAAGCTAATTCCGATGATTTTACTAAATGCATAATTTTGTTAATCGATTTATCCTGTATTTTATATGAATTGATCGAAGAAATTAACGTTATATCTATCTAACGTTGTGTGCGTATGGAAATGAAATTCCGGAATCGGTTCAGAATTTATTTGTGGCATATGGAAGCTTCGGTGGGATATTATCTAGTCATTACTTATCAAATTTTCAGTCGCACAAGGTCATTTATTCCCAGACTTCATTTTTCATAGGGGTGTCTCAATATCACACATCTATATATTTTATTCATTAGTCGTTAATATTGTATTATCGTTATAGAAACTTCTAAGGAAAAGATAAATAATGACTTAAATAATAGGTACATTAAATTTCTCAGATTCTTTTTCTTTTTCTTTTTTTTTTAATCTATTGTATGCACCTTTTAATAAAACAAGTTTGTTTTCAAATATGTCCTATTTCTTCAAGTCTGGTTACAAAACTTGGCGTCATAATAACATGGAAAAAATAACATTTATAATATTTCAAGATTTATTTATATCGTTATACGGTACTTTATATAATATAACATTAAGTGTTAGATATACATAAGTTAGTTGATATAGATATAGTAAGATATTGATGCACGTAAAAAAAAAGAAGATTAGTTTAAAGTCTTTTATTTTTAAAACCGTTTGTGGTGTTTGTCTTGATTCCATTTTATGCCAAGAAAACGCGAAATTAACGAAAACGTTGAATAAGGATTTAATTGTTACACAACATGAAAATTTTTTTATTATATAAAAAGTTGAATTACCGTATATATTATATTTTTTAAGCATCTTAAATTCTTTAAATGGTTTCACATCTTTCCACTTTTTAAGACATATAAAAAGCATGTGGTGTATACAATAACTCCGAATTCCTTTTTTTTCCCTTTTTTTTACAATGTAATGATTTTATCTAATTCATCCCTATTAATATAAAAGTTCGCTACTTTAGCTAGTTTGATAAAATTCTCAGAATCATTCCTTTGATTGTTTTCACAAATAAATAAATCAATTGATGAGAATAGATGAAATAAGAAATAGATCTAATTCGCTTTTTCATTTTCTCAATGATTTCGAAAAAACTTGATTTGGACGTATTTAGCTTTAGAATGAATGATTCTCTGAAATTGAGATAAGCGATGTTTATAAACATTCAATGAATTCCGCTCATTACGTAAGTACCATTCGAAATTCACCAAACTTCTAAATGGAATGCGAAAGTAAAAAATCACGTCACACATTGTTAATGCGAGAGCAAAATTGGAGACATAAATGAACATAACTTTTTATTATACATGAATTATTATTTAAAAAAGGTTTTATTAAAAAGTATTTGTTTTTGTCATTTTTTTTTATTAGTTGTAATGGACTCCCATTTTTTTTTTTATAAAAAAAAGACGCCGATTACACCCTGTATTACCAAATTTCATTTACATTTTTCATTAGGATCTTCATAAACGTGTATGTAATTAAATAAGTTCCTGGTCCGCAGTTGGTTGTGACCTGTTGATTAAACTTAAAGAATGAGTCATTGCAAATTTTAAATGGTCTCATTGAAGCATCATGTTCTAATAAATACCTATTTATAGGTATAAAGTTTTATATCATGATATTCTTTCAGAATTAAAGCACCGCTCCGAAATATAAAATACAATTATGAGGAAATATCACGTTTTCCAAAAGAGGATGGAGCTTAAATTTGGAAGGATACGGTAATTAGATATGTTGGATTCACTTTCTAAAAAAAATCTGGCGCAACTTTTGCCGAATGACTTGTTACTCACGTTTGTCACACAATGTATAAAAAAATTCCGGTGCGAGAATTATTGATGATTGATTCTATTTATGGAGTAGGAAATTACTTATGCAATGAATTTTTTGAACAATACAATAAAGTATTTGTTTGAAAAAAATTTATTACCTAACGTTGCATTAAAATGAATTTCAAAAATCATCAATTGGATAAAATTCACGTGACAACATTATAAATAAAATTTATTTATTTTTTTTTTCCTAGTAATAATTATATATTTTTTTAAATTTAACCATTTTTCCCATCGTATACCTACTCTTTATTCTCCTATTTAGAGACAATTATAAGAAAAGCTTTTACATCTTAAAACGAAGTAAAATTCGGTTGAAGGTTGATTTCATAATGAATTGCATCTGGAATCAGTTAACGGTCGATCATTAACTAGGCTTATAAGGCTTATATATCAAGTTGATTAGCAAATTTGATGATCCTATGACAAAATGGGTAAACAAAAACACGATGAAACAGGTTATATATATATATAAAAAAAATTTTTTTTTTTCGCATCTCTTTTCTTCATTTCTCTCTTATTCTCTGAAAAAAATAATAATTTTAAATAAAATGCCTTCCCCAGATTATCGAGAAAGAGGTAACGAAGCAATCAAACAAGGCGATTACATTACAGCATGGCAACATTATACTGATGGACTTCAAGAAACACCAAAAGATCCATATCTTTGGTGCAACAGAGCTTTTGCATGTCTTAAAGCTGGGTATCCTGAACTAGCATTGCATGATACGACGAATTCCGAGGCTATTTTAACAGAATATTCAGAAGAAGAATTTAATGAAATTAATTCAATCAAATTAAGAATTAAAATAAAATATCGTAAAGCAGAAGCATACAGTGCTTTAGGTTTACCTAAAGATGCGATGGTTGAATACAATGCTTGTATTGATTTAGTTGGCAAGGATCCAGATTATCCAAAATCCGATTTGAAAATGTTGGAAAAGAAGAAAGAAGATCATTGTAAGACGTCTTCATTATTCGAACAATTTTTACAAACTAATGGTGTAGATCATTTCTTGACTGAACAACATAAGAGACATGGATTTTATAAATTTGAAAAAAAATATCCTTGGGATATAAGATATGAGGAACGAGCATCAGAAGAAACTTTGACACAACTTCAACGAAAACTTGATTCTGCTAGTAATAATTTACTTAAAGTTTCCAATGTCGATTTTGATTCTTCAACTCAACTCGGTATTTTTGCAAAGGATACGATTTCGAATCATCGTATCGTATTTCAAGAAAATCCTTTCTTACCAGCTCATAATTATTACGTATTTCGTTGCGATTATTGTTTTCATGAACTTAAGGATCTCGTCCCTACGGATTCATATTATCAACCACGAAGAGTAAGAGCTGATAGGGAAGCCTATACCTGTCCAAAAAAGAGATGCAATGAAGTTTTTTGTAGTAAGAAATGTTATAATTTAGCTTGGAATTTATATCATCAACCTCTCTGCGGAAAGAATGATGAAATTAAAGAGATTGTTGATTTCATTCATTCTGATACAATTGGAGTTTTACAATATTTGATGTTAACCATTAGACTTTTCGCGGTAGCAAAAATTCGAGATATTTGTCCTTTAGATATTGAGGAAATTAAACACCTCGCACGATTCTCACCCGCTTCAACTCCATACAAAGGTCGATTGGTTTATGATCCCTTGTTTTATCATATTTATACAACTATTCTTCGTATTCTAGACATTTCCAAGTTTGAATTACGTTATGATTTTTGGATCTTTATTACCTTGATGAATTTGGTCATGCCAAACACATTCCCTGGACCGGGTGAATTAGAAGCGATGGATACATCAGTACTTTATCCATTATCATCATTATTTAATCATAGTTGTGCACCAAATTTAATTGATGCTCAATATTTATCTCAAGATTATGATAATAGTGTTGGAACATTACGTGATAGCGCAAGAATGCTTTGCAGTATTAACGATAATGATGATTCTTATCACCCTGCTAGAATCTTTTTTAGTGTTTTAAAGGAAATTAAACCGGAACATCAAGCTTTCAAGAGTTATTGTAATCCTAGACATGATAAGGTTGAGAGACATGTTGGATTGGCTACAACTTTTGGTTTTTTATGCAAGTGTGATAGGTGTGAATTCGAATCTGGTGAGAGTCAACAGTATCCCGTCAATTGGTATTTTCATTATCCCGTGCTTCCTGATTGGGCTAAATAATTTAATTTTTTATACAAAATTGTTATCTATTTTTTTAAACTTTAATAAATAAACGTTAAACTTTTTTACCATATCTAACGTTAATAATGTAATGTATTGAATTCCTTCATTTACATATTCTTTGATTAAATTTTTTGAGATTAACCAGATGAAATTATTTTGTTCCACTTATTTTTTTGTAACAGAATGATTTCCCATCTTTATTATTATAAGTAAATGTATACATAGCTAGGTTTTGTAAATTTTTTATTGTCAGTTCATCATTTGGAGTGTCACCCGTATTTGAGTCCATATATAATATATACATTGTAACAATGATGGATATTGCTTTGATCTGACATCATTAATATTCCTTTCGTCTGTGATCTATTTTCCATCACTCATAGATACTAAATAATGTTCAGCCCAGGAAATGTTTTTACAATTCCATCAAAGAAAATAAATAAATAAGTCTATTAAAAAATTTCGCGTTCAAATTCGGAATAGTTGGAAATGAATATTTTAGATACCGCTCCCAGCTTCACAGGACTTACTATATTTTCACTATCGAAATATGCGGTGTAGTTAGGTATGGAATTATGCTAATTTATAATATCTTTTTAATTATCAGACAATTCGATTGGAATTTTCATAAAGTAAATAATAGGATGGCTTCGCGTCCAATTTGAATCAGAAGAAACTTTAGACGCCAATTTATTGGGTGAAATGTAAAAAGTAGTTTCGAAACAATTTATTAAAAGGCCATACGAAAATATGAATGCATTTGTTGGAAGAACCTTTATTTTTAACAGTAATTTTCCATATATATTTAAATAAGCTGAAACATACCGAACCATTAAAAAACAAGCAATAGTCGAACGTAGTTCGAGCTTGAAGTTTCAGCTTTCTTTTCAAACTTGTTTGCTTCTTTAATCGCCGAATTATTGGTTTGACGAGTCGAGTTTTTATTTTAGATTATAAATAAAGCCGTATTCTTTTTTTTGATACGTGTGAGATAATAAATTTATAATTCTGACTTCATTAATTTCATTAATACATAGAATTATACTTTTTAATGTATTTAATAAGTACTGTATGTCCTTCTCTTTACCTGCATAACTAAAAAAGAGATTAATGAAATATTTTCAGGAAATAATAAAATTACTTAGATTTATACTAAAGTATTTTAACAGTTTAATCAAATCTATTTTTAAAGAGAAAGAATCAGAATTAATCAAAATTTTATGTTAATGAAGATTTATTAAATATAGATAGGAGGCCAACATCATTTTTTTTTAGATATGATGAAAAAATCCGATTAATCAAAAACAAAAAAAGTATTACATAAAGGTGCGATAATGTCAGATCACAATATTGAGGAAAGTTGTTAATATGATTTTATTTATAACTTGAAAATTTTATTCCACATAAAACCATATCGATATGTTCACAAATCATCTTATGGAATTTTCGATCCGATGTTATAGTTATAGTTTCGTGCCTGGCACCAATTACACTATGTAATGTTAATTGAATATTTTTTTATTTCACTTGAATTCTATAAAAAAATTATAATACAATTGTCACTCTTGGAAATTGACTGCGCTTAAGATTGGATTTCCGCAGTCCTGTCGATCAATTTTCTGACATATCAGAGTTTTCGCTTCGATATGATGGAATATATATGTCAAAATGCGTTTTTGACATAACGAAACGATCAATAAGCATTATCGTCAGTCAAGCCGCAATAATTAATCCTGCCAAGAATTCTTTAACTAAGCCATGGGAAGGGAATTTGTTATAAAAATAAGGGTATTTCGTCTTGCTTTTAGATAGAATTAGATAGTTTTCTTTTCTCTTAGGACCTATTACAGAGCGCCGGCAGAGGCAGTAATAGTTGCATTTATTGTATTTACTTCTAATTCACATTTATCTAATAATATTATTTTCTTTATTTTTTTACTTCAATAAAACTTTTTTTAAATTCTTTCGCATTTGATTTACATACAGTTTTGTTATAATACATTGTGTTCTCTAATTACCTAACAAACACAAAATCGCCTCTTTACGAATTTAGGAGGTGACAAGTAGTGCCTTCTGCCAGAAACCAACATTATTTTCCCTTTTTTATGGTTAATTTTGACAACTACTTTTACCATATACAGCTACAAAATCAATTTCATACGTGGGGAGTTGTAAATCTTCGTAGATTACATCCCAATATCTCTTGTATTCGTTGTTATCCTCCCTTTGAAACCACTGAGAAATTCAATCGATTTTGGACTTGGTTTACTACTGAATACCCAAGTGCCATTGCATACACTAGAAATTCACAACGATATTTTAGAAGATTAATTAATTTGGAGAATCCGCAGCATATTTGGAAAACTATTGCATTTTTAATCTTTAGTATTCGCTTTGATTCTGAACCAAAACCATACGACGAGCTTCGTCAGGATCTTTATTCATAGTATTAACGTTTACTTATCGTTATTGCTCAAGAATACATAAATAAAAAAAAATATAAATATTATATCTATTATTACATTTTTTTATTATCATTTTATTACTTGTATTAAAGAAATTCGACTAGCGATATATTAAAAATAGCATTTAGTTAGTACAATGTAGAACATTTTAATATTACCCATTAGCCACTATTGTCTACTGACCTTTATTGTTCCTTGGCAAAATGTCATCATTTATATATAAATATACTGTATATATATGGCGGAATTTTTCTTTAATAAACGATATGTTCAATATTAAAATTCGCATTCATAAAAATCTCTGACATTTCTAATAATAAAGTCTTCATGTTATTTCCTTCCATTTACAATTTATTGTAATAATCCTGATAATAATTAATAAACGTACCTGAATGTATAGAGTACTGACGTTGAAGGCAATACTTTATCTACGTTGTATTAGATTAGAAACTCTGTTATTATAAATAAAATACATCAAACACAAAAACATTAAAACCTTCAGCTTACCTTTAAACACTGTATATAACCCTTAAACCCTGAAAGAATTACAATTAACAATATTCCTATAAAACTGTTACAAAGTTTATTTTTACATGTTTTATATAATAAAATAAAGTATAATTATAAATAATAATAAAAACATACCATTTACTTTAATTTTTAAATCTCCATTATAATTACCTATTAAAAAAGATTGAATTACTATATTTAAAAAAAACAAGGATTTGTACTAAAGGGAATAGATGATAATGATATTAGCATGAAATCAAATGTCGATTTCGATTTAAAATAAAAAAAAATGTGCTATTTTTTCAAAAACTAATTTAACATTATGCAATTTTTTTTGCATTATTATATTATAAAAAATAAACTGGTGATCTCTGCTCTAGACATACTTAGATAAGAGCTGAAGTTTTAAAGTTTTATTAATTAATATATGTATATTAAAATATATTTTACCAAATTCTAAAGCATTTCTAAAAGTATATCAATCTTCTTTCAATAATTTTTGAATTCATCAGATTAATCTTGCTTAAATTACTGATATTCATTAATAAGTTATAAATTTTTTCTTCTTTTACTTATTTTTCTTCTTCTCTTTCTTTATTTTTATTATCTAATATTTTATCACCTAAAAATTTATTATTAATATTATCATATTCTTCTAATCTTTATATATTATTTTAAATTTAAAGTCATCACTCTTTTATAAAATTTTTGAGTATATTTAGATTATTTTTATTGATCTTTAACTTTGCTTAAACTATTATTAATATTAATTTTACTAATTATTATTTATAAAAATAAAAATTTATTTAATATATACTTATATTTTAATTAAAAATATTAATAATTTTGAAAATTTTTAATTTTAAGATGCTTATCTTTTTTTGGTAAATTGTATGATGATCAAATTCACACCAATAAAAATTAGATATTAAAAAATTTCCACCAATAAAATCATCAAAAAGTTAAATGTCTATTATACTAATGATATTTGGTTAATTATTTATATATTTTTAAGTTTGTATCACTTTATTTTATTATTAACAAATAGTCTAATTTAATAAAGAGAAATAAAATCAAAGTTTATTCTATTTATTAAGAAATTACTTACAAAATTCTTATATATATCTTTGAAAATGTTCTAATTTAATAATTTACTTTCTCACTAATTTTTTTTTGAAATATATTTATCGTTATTAAGTAAAAGTCTAATAAAATAAATTATAATTTTCTTCTATTTAATTTTATTAGAAAATTATAAAGTATATTATACCTATCTAGCTATTAATCACTTTTGTAAAATATCTTTTTAAAGCTTATTAAAAAAATTTAATTATTATAAATATTTATATTGAATAATTCACTTATCAATCATAATACAACCAAAACTATCTTTTTAATGTTAAAAATCAAAAGTATATATAATTATTACCATATTAAAATACTTTGGATTACATATATAAGTCTAATAAAAAAAAATACCTAATATTAAATTATATGAAAGGTTTGCTAGAAAATGCGATTCTGAACATTTTTTATTAAAATTTTAATAAAAAATGCTCAGAGCTCCATTTTTCTAGCAAATCTTCCATATATGTAATTAGCACATATAAAATATTTTAAATCTTATTAACTAAGATATAAAAATTTTCTTCATAAACATATATTTTATTAACTTGCATAAAATTTAATGCAAGCATTTAATTTTATTATTATTATTATATTATTTAGCATAGAGTTGTAAACCATAAATTTTTATATTTTATAAAAAAAAAGAACATAATAATGATAAGAAAATGATGATAGTTTTGATGAAATAAAGATAGAAGAAAAAATAGAGAAGAAATAATAGTTGGAATTAAAAATGGATACCATAATTAAGAAGTTGCAACTTAAGTTGCAACACTTTGAGTTGCAATATTTTATAAATTTTTATATTAAAATAGATTTATAAGGAGTTGTAACTTCTTAATTATAGTACCCATCTTTAGTTGGAATAGTAGAAAATAGTTATAAAAGAAGTGGATATGAGATGGAAAATAATAATAATAATACCAGTAATAATTATTAAAAAAATTGGTAAAATTTTGTTCTTTGTTTTTTCTTTATATATTTAAAATAATTTTGCATTTAGATATATAAATTAGCAATTTTTCTTTTTCTTTTTCTTTTATATTTTATATTTTTAATAAAATTTGTGTAATTTATGTTAAATAAATTAAACAAATACAATATTATATTTATTAAATGTTAATTTCAGATTTTAAAAATTTATCAATCAAAATTAACTTGATCCTAATAAGATATATGATAACAATCAGATTATTTATCTTATTTAGTATCATCCTAAAATTTTCTATTATATGTGATATGTACAATTTATAATTTGTCGATTATTTTCTAAAATATAAATAAAAAAAGATTTTTTGAATATATACTTTAAAAATTTATTTAATTTATTTTTTGAAACTTTTATATATATAGTGAACTCTTAATATAATGAATTCTAGGATCTAGATATTAACTGCGTTATAAGCTCATAATGAATTTTTAAAGAATTTAATTGGCTAGTTCACTATAGTAAGGTAATTTTAATATATTTGATTTAAAAATTTGCTATATCAAGGGTTCGCTATATCAAGGTTTAACTGTATTTTTCAAATGTTTAATTTTGCTAAAAAAATATCATTTAAAACCTTTTTGATATCCTAAGTAAAACTTACTAAGTAGATAAAATATATGTAATTTATAAATTTCAAAGTTGTATATGTATATATTTAAGTTTTATTTGAAATAATAAGCCTTCTTAATTTTATCCAAATTCCATTTTCTCATGTAAGTTTTTAAAAATAATTTTCTATTTTATTCTTGTTTCACTCTTGTGTTCACTTGTTCATCTAATCATAAGTAAATTAAATTTATTGGTTAAAAATCTAATATAATATTCAATAATTTTTTTTAAAAAAAATTCAATTGATCCATTTTATTTTAAAAAAATGAAAGAATAACAGCTATTAGTACTTTTATTTAATATATTCATTATTTTAAATATTATGAATAATGAAATTAATGAAAAAGGAGTAGATAATATGGGTAGTGTACTATTAAAATTGAGGTACAGATCATATGATTTATTTCTAAAATTTTAAAACCCAAAACTGATAATTATTGGATTAATGTTTTCTGAATTTAACTGATTCTTCAAATACAAAAAAATAATTTAAAGCTCACTTTATCATTATTAGATCAACTTTTAATATATTTTTATGTCATTTACAAAACCATTTCTTTATAATAATAACAGAAATTTTAATATATAAATTCAAGTTGCTATTACTATTTAGTGGCTTGCAAATAATGCAACATATAGAATTTTTAAATAAACTTTAGAAATTAATCAAAGATCTGTAACTAACTATACAAATAAATTTTTAAAAGCAAATTTTAAATCAATTTTCTAATATAATTAGTTGGTCTAATAAAAATGAAATTGATAAAATTTCTTATGAATTTGAATTTATTTCTTCATTTAATTCTTTTTTAAAAAAGCAATTGGAATTATTAATAGTTTTTAAATTCATATTTTACCTATAATTAAGAATTCTAAAAGATATATCAATTGTAAAAATTATTATTCAATTAATTTAATAATAATTGTTGATTATAAAGAAAGATTTTATATTTATATAAGTAAATCTAGTAGTATATATGATGCTCGTGTATTTTAAAAATCTTCTTTATTCCATGAAATTCAAATAAATAAATAAAACTATTTATAATATTTATACCTTTAATAATTATTTTTATTAAAAACAATTTTTTTTAGATTTTATCTAATAATACTTATATTATTAAAGATGTTAAAGTCTTAATTAATAATATTAGTTAAACAATATAATAATCAAACATAAGAAAAAAAAAATATAATAAATTTATTCTTTAACTTATATTGTTATTTGAACAAGCATTTGGGAGCTTTGCTATTAAAAGTGGGTTCCGAGACTATAAATTGATTTTGAGTAAATGGATGATCAAAAAATAGTTACGCCACAATAAACATACTTGTCCAATAAAAAATTGCTCTAAAAATATATATTGAGTCGAATCAATTAATAAGGCGATACTAATTTTATATAACGATAATATTTTATTATACAAATATTAAATTTTTGGCAGGTTTGTTATTTTCCGATCGGCACAATCTACGCCGATCGACCCAATCAAATCGACGCCAATCATCCCAATTCATAAAATTTATTAAAAAGCATTTGTATTTCACGAAAATTATGAATTACTCTACGAATATTAAACCAATATTGATGAAATTTGAGATTCAACTAAATTCGAACCCACTGAACATCTTTACATAGGCAATGAAAGGCGATTTACATGGACTAAAGTGCTGAAATTAAACAAATCGTTAAAATATAAATTCGTGTATTAATAGCGTTAAGAAAAACATGATTTACTCTATG